AGACTGTGAAATATCACAAAAATGTGTATCCAGAAGTTAAATCGCTATCCGTGGTATCGAGTCACTTGTACTGATTACTGGTATAATGAATTCAAATCCCCACATTGAATTTGTAAAGAAGAAAGTAGAGACAATTTTTTAAAAAAAAGTGTGTTGTGGGTAAAAGTGGCAATTTTTAACGAGATTTTACACCGTGACGTAGTCGACAAAGTAAAAGGAACTTTTCAAAAACATCAAACACGTATTCTTAATTGCCCAGAAAGTTATTTGACCTCAATTCAACTAAAATCTTTGGTCATATTTCAGGGAAAGAATCTGAAATTAAAGGAGGTACTTTTCAGTTTTGCCCGCGCAGGCGATAAAGTCGCCAATAATGGTATAACTGATGCCAAACGTAATATCCTCACTGGTAACCTTTTACGCCTCATTTTCAAAACAAGTCACAGCCATTTCTTATCTGATTGATTGGTTCTTTCAATACTGGCATGCAGTTGCATATAATTTTTGCCAGATTGCATACAATTGTATGCCCTAAGGGCATTAGCGGTAATTAGGTCAATTAGAATGCAATCATACCGCTCACCCGAAGGTGAAAATGTAGAAAAGGCAAAGTAAAGAGTTAACTTCATCAATTCTAATGAGAATGCACTAGCGAAGTAAAGCACTGCGGCTTTACATAATTTCTGAGTAAGCTCTTCGTACGAATTGAAATACGAGTAATTCTTGCATTTAAACTTTACTGAGAGAATAAGATTTTTCTACGTAGTTTACGTGAGATAAGATCACTTGATGGTCACGTGGTATGAACCGGCGAATCAGCTTGTTGAACCATGAAAGCATAATAAATTTTTAAATTAATGTCTTTAGTTATGGGCTTTTTTCAAAAATTTAAACGATATTAAAAAATGCCTTCAAAATAAAAAAATTCTTAGAACTAACATTTGTTAACATTTTTTATGTGTGTACTCTATGCTGTCGCCAATAAAGTCTGCTTGGCGAGATTTGCGCCGGCGAAACGGAAAAGTACCTTAAAGAGTAATGCATCACTAAATCTCCTAATCTGTAATATTATTAAAGTATGGTTTCATGTAAATGAAGAGATAAGCTCGTAAAATCAATGCTACGGTGACAAATTTCTTATTAATTTATTTTAAAGTTGTTTCATTCAAATTACATTATTTTATTCTGATTGCATTTTACTGTGTATGTGTGTACATATATTGCATCTAACTTTACCTTTATTTATTTACTGATCAGCTTGAAAATTCTTATGACAATTGCAGCTCGAGCTAAGGAAATTAAACATTCTTTTCATTTGGGTTAAGCGTTTACAATTTTTTTCAGTCAGCATCCAAATGTTTATCGTGCAGTGCAATTTAATGTCTAATAAGATTAATAAAATCCTATATAAATATAATATAAAAATATAAAATAAAATAAATATATATATAAAATATACATAAATGCATTTTAAGTTTATTTGTAAATTTTTCTTAGACTTTGTTTACTGTAAGTTTAAAATTAATTAAAACTTGCTCTGTATCATTAGTCGTTCTATAAAGCCAAAAGAAATTTAAATTGATATTAATGCTATTTCGGAATAACATTAAAGTAAATATTTGTCCTTTAAATTGCATTTACACTCATAAATGGAATGGAAATATAAGATAGAGTTTTATAACTACCGCTACTTTTTTATTCAAATTGAATCAAAATATGATAGCAATAATATTTAATAAAATCCAGAGAAGCAACAAGTAATTCGATACCTTTGAAGAATTAAAGATAAAAGATGAAAAGGCGAACTTAAATCGGTAAACATACAGTTAATAGTATTATGTGCTTGCATATGCTATAATTATTATTTTATAATATTTTATGTGTGCGTTTCTAACAAATAACAAATTTGAAACATAAGGCACTTATTCTGAGGAAATCGTTTTCTCTGTATGTAGTATGTAAATTATACTGCAAGGCGCATATATTTAGTTAACCTTCTTTTGGGGTGGGACAATTTGTGAAATATACATATTTTCTGCAGAAGTTTTAAAAGAATTGTTAAAATGTTAACGTAATATTTAAAAATATTTGTAAATAGCACTGGTTTAACATCGAATTTCCGGTATAATACTTTAACAAATTTTAATGATACAATATTGAAATTTTCAATAAGATTACATTAAATATATAAATATACATTAAATTCAATGTAAATAAGATTACATTAAATATATAAATATATATTAAATTTATTGTAAATAAGATTACATTAAATTACCTTAAAATACTTAATTTAAAATATCAGGACAACATATGAAAAAATTCTTTACTTTCACAAATAGTGCCACATATGATTATTTGATTTCTCTTGTATTTGATTACCATAATTTTATACATAACCAAATAACTAAGTCGTTAATTGCATTAGTTTTAGGTATTCGTGCGTATTTATAGAGATTTACTTACAATTTCATGAAACATTTTACAAATTTATGATATTTAATCTTATTCGAAAAATTTTTATACATAACCGATACCAAATTTTATTACACCGAAACAGGGATGAAATCGTTATGTTTGTTTCCTTGCACGTTTCACAAACTCTAGATGCTTTTTTGCTGCTTTGAAAGGCATTTTTGCGCAAATGGATAAATTTATTTGAATATATTGGAAAATGTTTTTAAACTAAACATTAATGACTAATTTTAAAAAAAATACTTATACTGTTGTCTAATTCAAAGATCATTGTCAAGACGTTTTCTTTGGGCAATGACCGGTGTTGACTTCGGACATAATTCCACGAACTGTTTTCTTGTGAGGGGTTTGTTATCAAGAACATAGTCTTTGTGTTTTCATTGGCTGCTAATCAGGTTCTTCACACATTATTACCTATGCTGAGGTTGTTGTCGATCATGGGCATATTTGGGAAAACATGTAAAAATAGTAGACTCTTTGGCTCTATTTCAGTCTAATAAACTTTGATGTTAGTTTTCCATAGATTATTTGTTATGAAGTTATGTAATATTCATGGATATGAGTAATCCTGTATTTATATGTACGTGTATAGTACTGTATAAATCTAAATTAAAATTATTTCAAACTTCTTAGAAGCCTTTGCCCACTCATTTACTGAAATGACAAGAGTTAGTCTATTCAAGAGTTAGTCTAGTCAAGAGTTCGTCTCAAGAGTTAGTCTAGTCATGTTCGGCTCCCGAGAAACTAGCATATTGCTGCGTTAACTGCGTAATAAAGCCAACTTTCCTTGTTGCCAATCAAACCAACTAATCAAATCAGCCAATATAAACCAACGTTCCTTGGAAAGCCCATAAATCAGTCTAACTTGGATAAAAGACAGACATTAGCATTTTGTAACATTTATGCGGGATGGAATACAATTCTTCATTGCTTCTTTCAAGAGAAGCCCTTGCTTTCAAACTCTGGCGACAATCGAATGAAAAGACATTATTTTCAGCATGAATGGATTACTGACCATGCAAATCATCCACTGCGACTGGTAGTTTTAAAAGACGCTATCCAGCGGAATCTATCAAGTACTTCTAAATAAAGGTCGTGTTTATTTTTCAGAATTTTTAGTTTATATTAAGGTAGCACTCCAGAATACTAGCTGTTACCTTCCCTCTTTATTATCAGGTAATTTTGCGTTCTTTACCTGGTACATAAAACATTACCCGGTAATAACATAATCGCAATTGAAGAATGTTCATAATAAAAGTCCTTAAAAAACAGAAATACCTATTTTACTCCTTTCTATGCTGATTGCTTAACAATGTACTAGTTTAACATAAATTTTAAATGTTTTATTTTTAGGCCCATATTACAGAGATATCTGAGATGGGTCGTAACTCTCCCTGTCCTAATAGATAAATCAGTAAGAAACAAATCCGCACACAGTGCAAGGTTAAATCACCGGCCTGTTAGTTTCCATATTAGTATTACTCTAGGAATACTTATCTTTTAGTATTTTGTTCTTTATCTAATGAACATTACAGAAAATTTAATGTTAAGATCAGCTTAAATAAATTCGAAGATTGGATTGAAAAATTCGATATTTAATAACTTTTTCAGTTAATAATTTTAATTTTTGGATTCCAGCAGTTACTTATGTCTAATAGACAAGGTGAGATTAGGTTACATAGACAATGGCAAAAGACCTTAAGGGAAAAGATGTCCTCGTGGAGGGCGTTTTAATTGAAACTGGCTCATGTTGCATATGGAAAAAACTATGAAACGTCTCATCCAGCCAGCTCGTTCGCGAAGATCCGAACCCAAAATGAACTAACAATGTTCAGCGATTTTACTGCTTGGCCGATGATGGGATAAATAATGCGAATTTTAATGAATAACAAAAGCCAGTTCTAGAGGAATGAGATACTTCACTAGACTTAAGAGCGGCAGGAAGTCTAAAATTGTTTTATATTACGTACACAATTACTTATTATCCGTAAGTGATAACACATGCTAACATTAAAATAAATATTATCTACAGTGCAACCGATTCATCATTACATGTTAATGTAATGCACTACCTACCATTATTTGCTTTTAAACTATCTAACCATTAGAAGCATTCTGTCAAGTGATCTTCTATTATTTTTAATTTATCTGATTTGCTGCTTCGCTTGTTAAAGCAGAATTTTCAGAACACTGCCAGATTTTCCTTAGGCAGCCTTAAGATCTTTTCTTTTACGCAATGTTTACCTAAGCACTGATTTGGCGTGTTTTTGGCGAATTTATCATCATTACGCGATTTAGTGGAGTGCGGAATTTGCTGTTCGATGTTGGCAACGTCTTCTCGCACTTAATGTAATCTATGTTAGATCGATAACTCAAGGAGGAGTAAGATTTATAAAATAAAAATAGAAAAGATAATCTTCCTGCTGTTTTCAGCCCATTACTGAAATTAGGCGACGCGAGCCAAGTCTCGTTAATAAGATTTGCTGTATCTTAACGTTTCAAAGAAATTTACTTTTTTCTTACAGGAAATTCGATTGAAGTTTAAATTTTGAAGAGGAGTTTGCGAATAAATGCTTTTTACATGCACTCCTGAGCTTTAGCTATGCACGTAAAATTTGCGATTTGTCATCATTGAGGTTTCTGAGTCTTCTGAAGATTAAAATTTCTAATTAGAAAAGAGGTAGGAAAAAATTAAGAGATATTATTCATGGATAAAATGCTGTATGTATATATGTTATGTTTTTTTTAAAACTTTCTATTTAATTTGTAACAGAATGTAAAAGTGCTTTATGATAAATTTGCAATTAAATCAAATGTATTTAGATAAGACAATTTTTTCCCTGTATCCGGTAACATTTTTATTCGCTTAACAGTGCATCATCTACAAAACACGAACTTAGTAAAACTCTAATTAGATTATATCTTCATTATAATTTTTTATTTACATACTTTCATCTTTTTAAAATCACTTACAGAGAAAATTTTGTAAATGCAGTGTCTGCTTTCCGTGTATAATCTCGATACAGCTAAATGTCTTTTTAATTTTTTTAAAATTGTGTACATAATAAGAAATAATTCCTTTTCACTTCAATATTTTATTGGATATTAATCAGAAAAAGTTCAGTAAATATATGCAACGGTAAACAGTCTCGACATTTCACATTTGTCAAGATGGTCAATTAAGATTTGTATTGCATTATTGAATTTTATTCTATAAGATATAACTAATCATGAAAAAAAACATACTTTAAAAAAATGGCTGATTATGCATCAGAAGGGGAACTAACAATATGTAAAAATATTAGAAATTATATTCAATTACTTGATTACAGGAAAATTAAAATAAAAAAAGTTTCATTTGTTTTTTGGGATTTGTAAAAGAGTAACATATAAATCAATAACATTAATTTAAATAAGCTTAAATTCTCAAATGCCATTGACCACAAAAGCTTCAAAATCGACCAGTCAGATCTCATTTAAATCTTTGATAAGTTTCAATATAGAGAAGCTTATAAACTTACCGGAAAGTTTTTGAAGAATTTTACAGCTAGCTATTTGGAATTTACAATGCTTAGCAGCCGTCCAAGCGGTACAGTGGTTAGGGGAGTTTAACTGCCTCACCGAAGGGCCCAGGTTCGAAACTCTTAGAAGGCATGGAAGTAAAATCGTCTTTGACCTCATAGGAAGTAATGGTGGCCGCCTGTTAGGTGCCTCCACAATGAAACGACCACTATTTCTGGCCTTAATATTGGGAAGCCATTGGGGAAAAAATACTTAGCTAAGTTATTTTGTCGCATAACGTGTTGAGGAATTTCTACTTTTTTCATTAAGCAATAATTCTAGTATACGCCTTGTCTATGGATGACACCAGCCGACCAGTGGCCGAGAGATAATGTCGCTGAACACTGGCAGTTCGGTCAGAGATTCGAGTCCCGTGAACGAGCTGGCTGAATTGGTGTTTTCGAGGTTTCCCCATGTGTAACTTGTTACCCTTAGTCAAATACCCTTATAATGTCCTCCATGAAAGCATTCCTCACTTTACGCAGATAGCCTTCGAGTTCTTTGCCGTAATCAAATAAACCAAACCAAATCTATAGGTGGCATCCTGCGCTGCACTTTAGGCATTGTTCTAGATAATGAGTCGTCTAAATCGATGTGAGTCACAGTTCACGGCGTATTTATGATGCCAGAAAAAACAAAAATCGTTATCTCGTAAGTCTTGTAATCTCTGATTGGTTGAAGAGACATGCATGACTTATTCTCGATATTCCTTGACGCAAGCCCTTGGCAGTACAAAGAATTCACTGCTGAAATTTAGTTAAACTTTGATAACATTCGAAAATGCTTGGCATCCTGGTGCTATATGCCTTTCAATGTACCCACAACCCAACGGAGCCATGCAGCTCATATTGATCAATAAATGGCGAGCTCAGTACTTACGTATGAAGTACTTATACGAGATACTGGAGGTCCTCTACTACATTCACAGACCCACACACTAACATATACATTCTATCTATCTATCTATCTATACATATACAGGATGTCCCGTAAATGTTACGAGAAACTTCTGGGGGAGGTAGGGCACATCATACGAAGTGAATAGGAACCCAGGCCCGGAAGTGTCAGGGGTAAGTGGTAGCAGAGGTAGAAGATGGGAAAGGAAACAAGAGAGTGATTAATTTGAAATATTTATTGAGCATGGATACAGATGGTGTACGCCAAACATGCAGACGTCAAACATGCTTGACAACGACGGATCATTGATTGGCGTCATGTTCAAACACACCGGCAGTTTATTTGATTAATAAACTTAAACTGCCGGTCTTGTCACGAGATCCATTTCAGACACAACAGGATCGTGATACACGACACTTTTGATGGCTTCCCAGGAATAGAAATCAAGGCTCAATAAATCCGATGAGCGCGGGGGCCCAGGGAACCAGTCCATCACAAAACCAAATCCATCGATGCGGGAATGATCTGTTCAAATGGCTACGAACATAAAGTCCAAAATGTGCAGCAGCTTCATCATATTGGTACCACATGTTCACAAGCTCTCCGTTCCTATAGTGCCTACCGCTCGAATGAGACAATCCTCACTATCCATTAGCACTCTTCTGTACAACTCCCCCTGGTGGCATAGAATGACGTTTCTGGGCAGGGGTTCCTATGCAATTCCTAATCCTTATGATGTGCCCTACCTGCCGCAGAACTTTGTCACAACATTTACGGGATACTCTTTATATATATATAATCAAGAAAAAGACAAATTACAGGAAATATAAGGTATTTTCTCCCCCTTTTCTGCATGCCTTTGTGATGTAATTGAAAGCATACTCGATGCGCATTCCAGAGGCCCAGAGTTCTAGTCCCAGCTAGGAAATTGCATATTTTACTCGAGAAATACCTTGCAAAAGATATGCACATATGCAATAATATAAAACATATGTTCCAAAGATGTTTAATCATAACTTTAAAAAAATCAGACGACTATGAAATAAAATAAAATTCACTCAATATTAAATAATAGTATAGCATTCTATTACTTTTGTGTAATTTTTCCTGTCTTGATTATTTAATTAATTTCACGGTATTCAGCACGTCATTGATAATAATTATTTATTTACAATTAATTTATCGAAATTTTTATATCTATGTGTATAATATTTATATATATCAAATTCGTAACAATATATATGTATATAAGATGGATATATATATATATATGTGTGTGTGTGTGTGTGTGTGTGTATGTGTATAGAAGATAGATGGATGATTATACAGTTAGATATAGACATATTACGACAATCTGACACTCAAATATTGAAGAAAAGAATTTAAACCTAATGTAGAATGTTATAGGGTAATTACAAGACTCAAGGCTAATAGAATAAATAATTCCATTTGCTTAAAACAAGATGGGAAAAGAAGTTTAAGTAAATTGCACTGCGATTTTTTAGCAAATTGTATTTAAGCTACACGGAATCTGACACCTGATTGCTGAAATCTGGAAAACGAATATTTGGTCTGATATGCAGTATCTGTTACTAAAATCATTTTTATACCAGATAAACAAAATGGGTTAAGAAATGAGTGAAAGTATTTCATGCTTCTAAGGATGAAAAATGCTAAAATGGTATTCATTTAATAAGACTAATTCTTCGATAGCTAATTTACAATGATACTTCCATAGCAAAAACAAAGGTAAAAAGAAAGCAAATTAAGCGGAGGCAAAAGATACTTAAGTATCTGCACCTGAGACGAAATTACGAATGCTAAATTTATCCACTCAATTGCTTAGAAGTTACGAAGCTAAACGAATAGGATTTTAACCTGCTTCCCAGATTAAGATGCAAAATGAAAAAATAGAAACACATCAAGAACGAAATTGAAGAAAACGCTAATCATAATCCCATGTCATTTCATTACATTATATACTCATAACTGTGTTCATTTTTGATCACAGTTTTTAGATGTTTCAACAGAAATATTAACAAAAGTACTCATTTCTATTTTGAATTCACTTTTATCCTTTTTACTTTTAAGGAAACAATGGTGTATTGTCATCATATTAATTAAGCTCTCAGTTAAACGAACTCATTCAGTTGTTTAACTTGTTTTCGTTTCCGGTTTTCAAAGGGTATTTTAACTCTTTAGATTAAATAAACAGTTAATACCTTTATAGGGATATTTCATCTTAGAACAACTCACTTGGTTACAAATTTGCTTAAACAGAAAGACATACCAGGATCATCGAATCATGTGACATATTATAAAAAAAAATCTACAGCTGTCATTCTTTGCTACAGCACATAACATTTCATATTTAAATGAACGAGGTGAAAAGACAATAAATAAAAACATTCTCAGACAAGTAATACAAATTTTATATCTATTAATCACAACATACTCTTTTGCCATAGATCAAACAATTATAACCAAATACCTTTAGAGTCAATTTTACCATTCTTTTAAATTATTACTGGATCATTTTCCGAAAACGATAATGATTCACCGTTCTATCTCTAATTATAGACTTTTGAATTACTGCATCTTAAGTTCTAGAGCAACATCGTTTTCAACTGCTTGTAAATTCGAGTATGCATTTACAAAATTTACTCTATTTCTAGCAATATTACCTTAGCTATGAATATATTTTGGATTTTTCTTAACATTTGTTTCTGCAACATCCTGAATTCGATTCAGGTTATAGTTCAGACAACTTTCTCTGGAACGCTTTACCAATAGCTCTCATTCCAGCTTTGCGATCATCTCCTTTCATTTACTATAATTCGTAAACGCGACTCATCTGAAATAGCTGTTTCTGTTGCTTAACGTTTGCTTTCTCTTCACATAGCTTTTGACTATGACTTTCCTGAATCTCAGCTTGAGCGTCGCTGACCGTCGTGCCGAAGAGCCCGGGTTAGAATTCCGGAGAAGGCATGCGTGTTTGTAAACGTATAGTGTCGGTGCGACATGGCGGCACTCTAAATATGCGGCGAGGCGAAAGTTCTCTCATGTAATTTGGTGGCAGGGGAGAGGATGGGAGACCTTCGGACCCGTCTCCCCGGGAAGCTCTCCATCAAAATTGGGGGCGGAAAAGAGCTAAAAACCTGTCACCTGAAAGATGCTTGAGGCTGATGCCAACGGCAGGCTTAATCTACCGCTCCTTGCAGCGAAAACTTTCGTGGGCTTGGCCTGACTACGTCAGAGAAGAGAGCATAAGCAACAACAACAACAGCGAAAAGCTGCACTGAGCTACGGCTTGGGAATGAGCTACGGGAAAGAAAACATGATAGTTTCTTGAATTTAATAATGCAGTACTTTTATTACTCTGTAGAGACATCAGTTTAAGTCGAAGCAGGAGACATGAAAAATGAGTCCCTCGCCGGGACTTGAACCACAGACCTCTCCAATACGCGCCGAGCGTGCTGACCACTACACAACGAAGGCATGCTAAAAAGACGGGATAAATACCTTATATACTCCTCCTTTTAAAGGTATATAGGGGGATTAGGGGACTCAACCGCCAAATCCTCGTGGTGAAGAGTCCTCATCAACCAACGGTTTTTAGTTCGGGTGCCACTGCAGAGATATTAAGTTATTTCGAAGCGGGCGACCATGAAAAATTAGCAATACCCTCGCCGAGACTCGAACCACGGACCTCTCGAATATGCGCCGAGCGTGCTGAACACTACACCAGGAAGGCATGCTAAGAAGACGGAAGAAATACCTTATAACCCAAAGTACGTCTACTTTAATTAAGGTGATCTCTACAAACATTCGCCCTCGTTTTAATTTTTCCGAAATCACTTGAAAACTTTGCATTGGCTAACATAAGACAAGGCATTTTTGCGCTGAACGTTTATTTAATCCGAACACAATCACCGCAAAAGAATCGCTAATAAATGTTTCATATCTCAGGTCAATTGTGGCTCTCGTATCCCAAAGAATTTCTATTTCTCTCCCATTAATCTCCCCATTTCTTATATAAGCGTCAAGGAAATCTTCCTCGATATCCTCTTCAATACTATTGCGTGACTCGGATTGTTGATTTTTCTCTAATTTTGGACATGCCGGTCTCAAATGCCTGAGCGCATTACAGTAGTAGCACCTTGGGAATCTTCACTTTTCGAATTGATTTTCAGCCCTCTTGGCACATCCCACTTTAAAGAGATGGTGCAGCTCGACCTAAACTCTAACTTATATTCTTTCAGTTTTGATTCCGATGTCGATAGACAATTTTCTCGCTTTTATCAGTAATGTAGAAAGATTTCGATTCCATATTAATAACGTATTCAAAGAGCTCGGGTAATCCTACTGCCGAGTTTAACGCAGTCCACGCATCTAGGAAATGCTCTTTCATTTCTTTCCTTAATTTGTCAGAATCTATTAACTCTTTTATCCCTTAGGTCATTTAACATCTAGCTTACGAGCCATCTTTTGATGTAATTTTTTATTTCAGAGGTGAAATCTTTCCAACTACTCTCGGTTTTTGCCGGAATGACTAGGAGATCAGTTTGAAGTTCTGAAAAAATAACTATTTTATGTGCTCAACATTTTCATTCAGGTGATCCAGTTGAAACGTTTTTCAAAGGGTATGCTTGAAAATATAAACTGATGGAAAATGAATGCTCAACAATAATAAAGACTTGTGATCGTTAAACGAAATTTTTTGAGAGGCGTGTTTGAAAATCTGAAGGATAACTTTTACTCCTTAAACACGTGACTTTAACTTTGTGTACTACATTTATTTTCCGAATTGCGCGTTAAAAGCGAGATTTGAGTCAAGAATGCCTTTAAGAATCTAGAAAGGCAGTATCAGCAGCTTACTATTTGTGAAATTTCGGAAGTACTTGGAAGAGATGTATCCACTGTGCATAGGCGTTGGTAGTAGTGGTTACAGAAAGGTACTATTTCAAGAAGGTCGATATCTGCCCGCACACATGCCACCACTCAAACAGGAAACCACCGTAATCTCCGCATATCTGTGGCGCGTCTCACTACATCAGCAGGAAATATTCGAGCTTTGGTACTAGAGGAACACAATGAACTGTAACAAATTGATTACTTGAGGAACAGTTCAAGCTATACGCCCATTAACAGCCACAACCACTAAATCCAAATCACCGCAATTTGAGACTTCGTTGGTGTCCAACCAGAGCTCATTTTATAGCGGAGTGAAAATATGCTGTTCCCTCATATGAGAGCCGTTTTGTCTTGGTGATAGCGATGGCCGAATCTTAGCTAGAAGGAGTACCAGATGAGCACTTGGAACCAAGGTGTCTACAGAGTAGACACAGTGGACCTACACAAGTAGTTTTGGTCTGGGTAGAAAGTTCCTTTGATAACTGAAGCACTGTCATTATCCCAAACACCTCGACAGCAAATTTATTCGTCAGACTTGTGACTGCGCAGATTGTGCTGCCATTCTTTAGAAATACTCCAATAGGTATTTTCCAACGGGATAACGCTCTTCCTCATAGCGTTGCTATAATCCAACGTGCAGGGTGTTGAAATGTTGACTTGGTCTGCGCGATTATCCGATCTTTCTTCCATTGAACACATGACTGGACGATAAATTTATCAAATAACTTTTTTACAGAGAGAAATGCTTCATTCCTCTAAAATGATTTCTTTTTGGTATTATAAGTTCCTTTACCAGCGGTATATTTACTTTTAAAACTTTTATTATGTTAAAATTGTTTCAGTCCATTAAAATGTCTTACTTTCTATCATACTCTCGTTAATCTTTGGTTAGGCCATAATGTAGTATGAATAAATACACGTTTCCCTTCAACTTGGTTCCTTTATTGGTTTGGGTCAAATTTTGAAATTAATTTTTGGCCCTCTTCCACCGAACCTGTTTTTCTCGATTTTTTTTACATATGCATATTTGATGCAACAATAACACAATATTTCAGAACATTTGTTTTAAATTTAATGTAGATATAATTTTAGTTATTGTTGTATCTTTCTAAACTGATTGTTAAATGATGAAACTAATTATCATAGATTTCGGATATTTACGTAATCGCTTAGAGCAAGAAAACGTTCCTGTAATGGCCATTTTACTTGCCTCACTTTTGAACTTCAAACTTGAAATATTTATTCGTAATCAGTTTAGATTTCGATTTCAAAAAGATGGCTTTTTTTCAAATTTATGTTTAATTGTACTATAGCGCTAGCAAAAATAACGGACAATAGAAATTAAAAGAAATCTGTTTACAATAATTTAGAGATGCAATTTTTTTCTTTACTATACAAGACTTTGACAGATTTAATAAGATCTTATTTGGTTACTCAATAATACATTCAGATAATATTCACCAGGAGGCAGTGAAACGACTACAGGAGAGAGATTAAATTCTGATTATTTCAAATGGCTAAAAAGGTATAAATTGTTTCATTTTCTTAACACTTCTCAAACAATACTTGAGTGGTCAACTTTTCCTAATTAATAACGAACATAAAATAAAAATTGCTTTCCCAACATCATAGTAATCATATTTGTATAACGTGCACTTCATATGATTTAATTAAATTTTTCCTTCTTACAATCTGTCAGAGCACATTAATTTCTATCTATTCATATATAAATGCCGGTTCCACCATCACAAATATGTTAATAATTGGTTTAAATCTAAAGAGCCCCCGAAAAAAAAAATAATAAAAAACTAACAAATTTGTCTACATTTGTACCTAACGATCAGCTAAACTGCGATTATTTCTCTTGAACAGAAATCTTAGCTTTGCTTCTCGCTTTTGCGGCTATGAGCCTAATTTAAGAGGTACTTTAATTCAAGAATTTCTAACCCAAATTGACAACTAATTATGTTTAACATTGGGAAAATGACAAATTAACCACATAACCAGCCCATTCATCGGAATTCGAAGCCGGGTGTAACTATTCGTACGTCCTTTTAATGTGTTCCGTTGAATCACTTCGAGTTTCTTTTCTTTTTCAGATTTTCAAGCTTAGAATTATCTGAGAGTCGTGATGTCAAGGTGTTTGAAAGACTTCGCAGAAGTAGTCAAATTCGTAAGTGTTTACTTTCCTACTTTAATTTGAAAACGTCGCGTCGATCTTAGTATATCCTCTGGTCACATAGTGTTTCGGATTCAAAAAAAAAAAAAAAAAAAAAAAAAAAAAAAAAAAAAAAAAAAAAAATTGACAATCACATTTTTTAAAGCAGCATATCTTTAGAACTTCTGATATTGTGTTAAGCGGAACTTGGGAATCAGAATTACTATTGATATTTAGCTTGTTAAGCTTTAAACCAGTAATCTTATTGACCTAAAGCGGTGGCAGTGAACTGGTTTTTAAGATTGCAAGCACGTCGCTGATAAGACAAGAAAAAGATTGACGAAGCATCTACCACCATATAATGGCATAAAGAAGGGGTATTCTTTCCGATTCCATTTCCTGCTGCTGACGTAGTAATCAGCTCTTCGCAAAATTTATGAGTCTATCTAATGCTTTCAAAAATAAGTTCAGAATATCCGCCGGTGACTTGACTAACCTTAGTCCTTTTAGCAGGGAAATGATATCGCTCATGATAATAGTGAAAGTAATCACTGGTTGAATATTTTCGTCAGCTTGGGTTATTTTTGATGTACCGTTCCTAAGCATATAACTATATTTCCCACGGCTCTGTCTATTTGCATTTTTTTTTTTTTTAATTTCTTGGTCAGTCCGGTAAAAGTTTCGTCTGACATTCGAATCTGCCTTTCTATCTTGCCATCTCCCTCCAATAACCATTCCAGCCTTGAAAGTTGTCTTGTTGCAGAACTTGGATCCACTGCCACAGGGAATCCTCAAATACCTCGTATCCGGTATACCGTCACGTTGCACGACCTTTCCGACTATGAGAGGGGATCATACTCATATTTAACTCATTTGCTGCTCTAGTTTACCACATAGTATTTGAACATTCCTGCACTATGAGCTTCACAGATACGTAAATAAAATGACTTTTGAACGATACATCTCTTTCTCTGTTATAAAATGTGCATTCTTATCAAATTTCGTTGTAATCAGTCCATCAGTTGCTCTAAAATTCGACATAATGTGCACATTCTCTTAATTTTGCCCACATGTGTATTTTCCAGCTTTCTGAATAGCAGCTGATGCGAGTATAACATATCATATATAGTACACCTTCCCACTTTCGTAGGAGGATTACTTCAGATTACTGATGAATTTAAAATAATGATAGGCTTATTGGAAAGCATTCTTAGAAATAATTTTTGAACAGACATCTGTGCTAGATAAATGTAAAATAATTTAAAGTAAAATAACTGAATTTGCAGTTAACGGTGCAGCAGATATGATTGATAAAATAAATGACGTGGCTGTAAAGTTAATAAAAGTAATATATAAAACAAAGTATTCAGAATAATTGTCCGCACTATATATTGCATCATTCATCAGGAAGCACGTGGTGCCTAAGGTTTGCAGATGGATAATGTTACGGAAACGGTAATTAAAAACGCAAACGTTATTTATGAAAGAGGTCTGGATCAGCGATAATTTGTTGCATTGTTTGAAGAAATTGAAAGTAGTAACGGATGAATGATTTATTATAACAAAGTGAGGGTTAAATCGAGGAGTTATATAAAATGGTTTTATGATTTAAAAATTGAATTCAAATATTTGAAGAAAATAAATAAAGAAAATTTTCAAGAAAATAAAGAAAGAAATAAAACCATTTACAAATACATAAGGATACGTGAATGGTAAATTAAGCATTTCTTGTTGACTTAAACAGCCATTTAAATATCTTCGGTAAAAATCTGCTGGAAAGAATAAACTTATCACTGATATGTATTCTTATGTTAAAATTTTTTAGTTAAATTTCAGTTATGAGAAACACAACTATAATCAACGAATGCAGCACATTTCCTACATTTTAAATCCTGCTCAGTTATTTAAATTGAAACAGCTCAATATGTCGAAATATGGCATGATTACGACAAAAATATGGACAAAGATTAATAATATTAATAATTAGAGCTCTTATTTTACATCATTTTCATTACCTTAAAACATTGTAGAAACCTGCACTTTAGAAAATATACAGTTCAAGCTAACGTATTTACAATACAATAGAAATCATATTGAAAAGTTTGAGGGTACAAATTTAATTAACATTTACTCGTATTTTATTTTTTTATTATCAACAGATCAATACCCTCAGTTACGAATTTTTGTACTAAGAATAATAACCTTTCTCAAGTACATTCATATATAAATAACGTTTTTCCTCCGATTGGAAATTTAACGAATCTAAGAAAAGAACCCGATTCGCCGAAGAGCATCCATAATCCATGATAAAGATAATTTATAGTAGTTTTCCTCCAGGGTTATCAATTTTTTGGGAATATAAACGCCATCAAGTTCTATTAAGGAATAAAGAAGTTTATGATTATTTACATATAAATGTATCTATTGTTTCTCTGCATGTGCATGGAATAAGATTTTTATTGTTTATTTTCAAATTTTGCTCTACTTGGAAAATTTTCAAAATTTATTGCTTATTCGAGTGGTCCACGGTTTAAGTCCCAACGAGGGCACTGCACATTTGTCACGTCTCATACTTCAAAAACACCCAATGGCTCTATAAACGTCAGGCAGAACATTTATATTTAGCTTCCAAGAAGATCAGTAGCAAAGTGTTTCTAGCAGAATGGTTTTGCAGGTATCAATCTTTAAACTTCAGATGTAAAATAAATTTACATTTGAATTGTTCTTTATGATATTATTATTGTTGTTTATATCTGTTTTCATAAATATAGTAAATGAATTTTAAAATTTAGTTAAAACCACTTCATTAGATTAGAACTCCTGCCTAGATTAAAGAAATCCGGCCCATCAACGGCACTGAGATCGAGTATTCGACCTGCCAGCAATTTAAGTTTTAAACCAGAACCCTTAATAACTTTAAACCCTTCGTTTATAATTCCAGACTTCGAAAACCCTAAAGGAAGAACTATCAGTTACCAAACTTAAAGCAAAAGTTGGTTATAATTACATTTTAAGTAGATTCGTGATATAAAAATTAAATAAATGTCAATACCAGATTTTAATAGTACGAACTTTATATGCTTAACATTTCTATTTAAGATTCATTCACGAAGCTTACTTTTATACAAATTTTTATTCTTTAACTATTTAGAATAACTAAAAATCTTTTCTAACATAAGTCACTTTTTTCTGTTTTCAAATTAATTTTAATATCTCAAAAATTAACGCCAAATTATATCATAAGTAACTCAAAAATTAATAGCTCTAAGTAAGTAGCAATATTTTTAATTTCAATCTCTGACATATACTTGCTCTACTTGTGAATGTCAGAGATGCATAATTAATTAAATTATATGCTGGAAAGAAGTTATTTTTTTGGATCGAAACACAATTTACTGGTACATGAGCATTAGTTATACCCAATCATGTCTTTACTAAATTTCATATAAGAGTATGACAATTGTCGAATTCTTAGAACTATGACAACATGAAAAAAGTGTTTAAGTGAATTTAATGGAGAGCTGCTGTTTCCCTGTTGTAGAGGGAACAAAGGAATCGTAAGTAAGTGAAGAGCTTAATATTTGTTTAAGTCTCGTCAATAATTAACACTCAGAAGCTTGTAAGAATAAGAAACCATATATGAAAGAAAAACTTATTTTTATTCTCAAGCAGATAGATATAAATAAATGACTTCTTTTATTTATAAATACCCTGAAGTGTGAATTAAAGAATTGTAATAACAAACTCTACAATGCGTTCTACAGAATAACCTACTGTAATCATCTTCATGTTTGTTACATCTTTATATTAAGTAAAAATGTTTAAGTAAAACTTTTGCTGGTAAACTTTTGATTATGTTCAAAGTAATATAACAACCCCAAATTAAAATCATTCTAATGCTTTTACTTTGATACATTATACAGCAACTAAAGTATGTATTTGCTTTAATCTAATGATACAGATCAAATTTATCGCTAAAATATCATAATAATAAAATTTATCAGCAACAGTTTCAAAATTGTTAGAGGCGAAGCAAGAATCTTTGAGCCAAGATGTATTACAATAGCTTAAAGTCTAAGCAGCTGTACAGTGAACATAATTACTATTGTCGTATAAGAAAGTAATTCATCACTGCTTTTAATCATATTTGATATTATTAAGCATTATTTAATTGCTTTTTCGAAATAAATATTCCTGTTTAAATAAAAGATTTCAGCGGTACGGTCATTAACACATGTCAAACGATAAACCACGGAAAAGCAAAAACGTCCCGTCTCATCCTCAGAAAGCATCGAATCATTTTATCTATCACATAGATGTTATAACCTGTCATTATCACTGACCTGATCACTGATCTGAGAATGACCGCTACACCCTGTGCGGATGCGTCGATGAACTTTTAGGACATCAAAGATGATATATCTTGCTTGCTCATAAACCGTGATGCCCCTAATCCTCTAAAGTAGACAAAATATCACTTTACCCAACAATAGATCCTTAATAACGTTGTACACTTTTACGTCACTTGTCTTGTTAAGCAATTTTATCCCCGACATAAAATTACATAATCTCAATAAATCATATTGTAGTTCAATAAAGCCTAATCAACTAAGGGAAAGCTAAAAAAAGCAAATATTCTTCGCTAAATTTCTTGAATTATTTTGAAATTAATATTAACTGATACTGTCAAATAAAAATGCCACTTCAATCTAGACTATTTTCCGTTTCTATATTTTAAACTGTTTAATATTTATGTCGCATAAATGAGATATAAAATATTAGCAGTCATTTACAAAATTACTTCAATTAATTATTAACGACTTATTTATGAATTTGTAATGTATTTTTTATTTAGGTATCCAGTTAAATTCCTTATTTTTCTTTCCGCGATAAAATACTTCAAATCCTCTGCGTTATTTTCCTTTAAAATATATTATGGGAAACGTTCTCAGATACTTCCGAGATATCTTGCTAATTTTAGAAACTTGTTAATTTTTTTACTAATTTTCATGGAGATCAGCCAAACTTTAAAGTGCCTAAATTATATTCCCTCTTTATTCCCTTTAAAACCGCTCTCTTTAACATTTGGGAACCAGTGCAATTCATAAATGAAAAGTTTCTTGAAAGCGCCTTTAATTGTAATAGGACCTTATCAAATCCAACTTGCATGCCATGTAAGGAGTTAATATTTCAAATCGTAACAAGAATTTTGATTCATAATGACAAAGCTTCAAAATGAAGAATCGCTATTTCATCAAGAATGAACATTCTACGACCAGTTACGAATAATAAAGAAAATAATGTTGATAAATTATTTAGACGTGGAAACGATTTTCAGCTTAATTTTGTCCTATCTGATCATACAACTCGGGATCTGTCATCATGTAAAGTTAATAGAGTGCTTTTGTATTGTATGTGTGATTACGGGAAAGCCTCGAGGGCTATCTGCCTAAGGAGAGGGATGACTTCGTGGAGGACTTCTAAGGGAAACTGGCTCGTATACACGTTACACATGGGGAAACCACGAAAACGCCCATGCAGCCAACCCGTTCGCGGGATTCGAACCTCGGACCGAACTACCGGTGTTCAGCGACTTTACCGGTTCGGCCGCTGGTGGGCCTCTAATAGAGTGCTTTTACGCTCAAAGATCTGAGCTATGCAGTGACGTGAAATGATAGCATAATTTCATTACCTGACCAATCTACAGTGTTCTGGCAGAAATGAATAATTTTCGCAAAAGCTATTACCCTGAAAAAGCATTACATTTTTTTTTTCAAATAACAGCAGTTGTTTCTCATTCTATTGCTTCCTGTAGAATACTGAGCCTTTTATGTTATTTCAAAGACTGAAATCCATAGTAAAGGTTTGTAAGTTTGTGTCTGTGGAACATTTAGGGTAGCATTTGTTTCTATGGCTAGATCGCCTCCAGATGCTAGACTTATTTTAATTGAACTGACAAAGTTGGTAGATGCGCTTACTAAAATAGGGATTTTAATAATTCAATCACTTTGGAATGTAACTTTACATAATTCAGCGGCCAGCACTATATTTTAAAATTCTGATATTACTAAATACAGCCTTAATGGCTGAATTAAATCCAAGCTTGAAAAGGAATATTTATTTAGCTACTTTGCAATCCGAGGCGAGAGCATTTGCCTTCAAGATAGCAAAAGACCTGCCTAACAGCGCAAATGATCGTATCGCCATTGAAATTCCGTATGTCCTCTGTGGCCTAGTATAACTGGCATAAATTCCAGCAATCTTTCACCCATGATAATTACAATTAAGTTTCATTTGCAAGAGAAATCAAGATGTCTCAGCCCCTTTTTTTAATGTGCTGTCATCCTATATATATGTAAGAGAAGTAATACCCATATATAGGGTGGCCATAAGAAAAAGGCTTCCCAGATATTGGAACCCCTAGCAGCGTATATGACCAACTAATTCAATAGAAATTTCAGATACTATTATTTGAAGGTATGCTCTCGAGACTTTATTAATTAAAAATCGGCTTCAGTTCATGCGAACTGAAACTGTATTGAAGCGAATTAATACTTCATTTGAACTCAATGGACTCCTAATCCAAGTAATTCGAGGATTTGTTTTTCTTATTATTCATATTGAGTTTAATCAGCTTAAAGCGAGCTGTTTATCTAAATACTTAGCACATTTTGGCTTTGCTATTATATATAGGCGAAAATGGTTTTTCATTTCGAAACTTTTGTTACTGTTGTTACAAATTTTAAGAATTTATTCCGCTATTTTTATTTTTTATTTTAGACTTTATATTTTTTAGATTAAAATTTTCATTTATTTTGTCATATGCTGGATTACTTCTTTCTTGCATGTTTTTGGACTCCATTCACTAGAAATATAAATGTTCATAATATACTGCTTGTTTGTGATTTATGCTATTATTTTTTAACCCGGCCAGTACGTTTTCAAAAATTGCATATTTTTTTTCAAACATTGGATTAAAAATTTGCATTTCGTTTTGTTTTCAAGAACTGGGTTACTATTTTTGTAAATTTGTTTTTTGCACTTAATCAACTCAAAATAATTTTGTAAATTTGTCTATTATTTTGCAATCTTTTTGAATTTGCCTAAGCATTTGATGATATAATTCTGCTATGTTTTGCGCTGCTTACTTCGGTCTGCATAGGATGGACTGGTAAATACATATATTACTTTTATGGTTCTTCTAAGAATATTTTTAAATTTTTAAATTTAATTTGTGTCTTTGTCGGTTCAGAAACAGTACTTATTTTTAACTTCTTTTGTTGCAGCACACCACTGACGATGATGCAAAGATTTAAATTTCATATTTCATTTCTGGATTTGGTATGTTTTGCTCTTCTATTTCTTGCAGTTTCTCACTATGCTTCTAAATGTTTGGTTATTGCATGAGATTTATTCCGAGTTGAACATGTGATGAAATTTAAACGTATTTTTTATTCTATTTTGCACTATTATCACCATATGTTACCGCAATCAGCACACAACTGGATTAGGTTTTGAACTGCTTTATACTTTGAATTTATTCATACGTATACACACACACACACATACACATATATATACATATAAATATACCATCCCATTTTTAAAGTATTTAATCGGAAATATTCATGTTTTGGCAATGTCAAACTTAAGAACATTTATTTTCGACAAACAGTGAAATCTAACTTTTGATGCGAACTTCCGTTTCCAATAGTTATATTTGGGGAAGTTTACACTTATTATGCTAAAACAAAATCGTAAGAAATTTCACTCCCGTACGAAAACAATTGAGCAATTTGAAATTCAAAATTTACAGTTTTTGTTATCATTTTCAACTTGTCTTGAGGGATCGGTTAATGAAGTTAAAATGATTCGAGGAAATATGTCAAAGTAAAGGGCAGCAAAAAATCTGGATGATTTAATGCTAATGTGGTATCCAGATCAGATTTTTTATAAGTATTTTATAATAAAAATATTCCAGTTTATTGGGGGAATACACACATAATTACTTCGATGGCTTTGTTTATGGGATTGTTTAAATGAAAGAAGTAATTGTCCAAGTCACAAATATCAAATTGTTATGTATGTACAGGTTTGCAGTGCATTGAATGCAAACAGAACGATGATAGTTTGTTAAATTTATTTTCTCAAAAGAAACACTGTTCAGTTCTGGAAATTTTCAAAATATTATTCATACAGTTCTTCTCAGTATAACGCGGCACGGTCAGTTGTTACCACCTCAAACTATTACGAACGTTTAACACAAGACAAAAAGCTATAAATGCGTAAGCTCGCACAGTGGTCTCTCAACACTCTGAGTACTATGAGCTTAACTCTGAACTCTGAAATAAACTGAAAACTGATGATCTCTCCGGTCTTACGTAGTTTTCCTCCACCCGAAGAGAAATTACCAGTGCCTTCAAATTTCTCAAAATTGACTTATAAAGGGGCAAAACCAGAATGTCGTCAAATGGTCGCCAAGTATGGCGACAAAAAGTATTCGCCAAAACCATCGCCAACGAGATGACTTGCGTTACTTTACGACAGCATAAACAAACTACAGCTAATAGCTTAATAGCTTAAAATAGTAACTATTTATGGCATGTGTAAACCTCTAAGAGCTTTTAGATATTTAAGCAGAGTACCCTAAGGTAATTTGGCAAGATAAAACCACATAAAAGTTTTGTCAAGTGGATTCGATTCACGATTTTCTTAAAATATGAAAGTGTAAAAGGCCATGTATGTTCATCTAATGTCTACATATGTCTATGGTGTACGTTGATCACTTGTCCTTTTGCAGCTGAGGGAAAAAATTCTATTTAACTTTCGAAATTAACATAAAAATTTATGCAGCTTGCTCTGATTCTTGTTGCTATAGTACTTTTAACATTTGCTCTTTAGTGTGTTAATTTTCTGTGCAGAGTGCATTGTCCAACAATGTGCAGAGGAAACCATATTGCATCAAATTGCACTAATCACACAAGCAAGCTGTTGAAGCGCTGGAATTAGCTTATTGCCATCGAATTTACAGCTAACAGGACCCGAAGGACCTATGTCTTCGAAAAAGAAGGGGACAATGGTAAACGTTGCCTAAGCCCTGACTACATATTGGTCTTTTCAGAATGAAGAAACGACTGGTGCGGTGTGGGTGGAGTACCCTTTGCTAAATTTTGAATACTTACCTTGCTAAATGGTGGAGTACCCTTGCTAAATTTTGGTGGTACGGTGGGGGTGGAGTACCCTTGCTAAATTTTGAATTAAAATTTTGAATACTGACACAGTCTTGGAGAAAGACTGCGTGTTCTGCGGCCATGCATTGTCTACTTCCATCCGAACAAAAAGTTGTATGGCAAAAGTTTGCCTTATTGGCAGGTCATCAGCAAGCTCCTGAACGTGCATAATTTTGAGCGAATAGTATTACAAGATGTTTCGTAAAATTTTACGAACCATTCTGGTATGCATGTCTAAAAATTGGGCAATTTCTCTTGCACTGTGTGGTCTACATCACTGCTTGTTTCATTTTGCTATGCTATAGCCACATCTTCCACTGACGTTGAAGCAATTACTTTCTTCTACTGGCGTCTAAGCAATTACTTTCTTCCCTTTGTGACAGCTCACGTCAAATAAAGCTTTCTCTTCGAGTTTCAGGTATAGATGCAAGTATGTATTTCAGATCATTCTAACCAGTAGTTCTTTTTTATGGAACCTTTAATTATATTCACTCTGCATATGTATGAGCATAAGTTAAGCTTTAGACAAAATAAAATAAAACGAACTTATAACACGAACTTGCTTAAAGCCAACATTCTGCTGATATGAACACCGGCAGCGAAGTCTATAGTCTTAAAGAAAGGTTTATCTAATAACGTGAGTTTCGTTTAGCAGAACTTACAAGCTGGTTTTTAGCCTGTTGGTTCATTAGATTTTTTTTATTAACACGAACTTTCAAAGGTTTTAATATTATTTTCCTGTTGTTTCTTTCTAGGGCTGTGTTCAGAAATGTTCAGTGCCGTTTAATTGAAAACCTCAAAGAATACACGTTATTTTGTAAAACATTAGCCAGCACGATTAACATGCTCGAGAAACGTGATCACTGCGTCAAAAATGAGCTTTAGTAGCGTTAACAATAAGTTTCATTCATGAAACGCAATTATGTGTTCAGATGTGATTTCTTATTCTTTAAAAATTAAATAGCAGGACTAATGTTAAATCTTGAATGATTCGGAATTTATCAGTGAAATTTAATTACGGGTCTTTTACAAGCGGTCGAAGGGGCGGGTTAGTATATTCTATTTTTACTAAAATTCAGTAGGTCACATAGCATATATTAGCATGTATTTTTCTCCTAAACTAGCATCTCCGAAACTGGTCACTAGCATGTATTTATTTTCCGAAACTAGCACCTCCGAAACTGGTCACTAGAATGTATTTATTCTCCGAAACTAGCACCTCCGAAACTGGTCACTAGAATGTATTTATTCTCCGAAAATAGCACCTCCGAAACTGGTCACTAGAATGTATTTATTCTCCGAAACTAGCACCTCCAAACCTGGTCACTAGCATGTATTTATTCTCCGAAAGTTCTAGCGGCACTATTCGGCAGACCTGTAGATGTTACTAGGGTAATTTTCAGCGACAAATAACTTTAAACTGTAAGCTGTAAGAGAGTGATTCATAACCAAGACGAAAAAGACAGGCACAGATCTGCAAACAAAACTAAATATTCTAAAGGAAATAGATCGTGGTGTACCGAAGGAAGGTACAATTACCAAAAGGTAAGGAATTTCCAAATCAACCTTAACCACAATTGCGAAACAATTCTCAATCGTGCTGCAGCGGGGTTGGAGAAAAAATCTAAGCAACTTTGCAATGCTAAGTACGAAGTTGTCGAAACTTTATTTCTTAAGTAGTTTTGCAATGCTAAGTACGAAGTTGTCGAACTTTATTTCTTAAGTAGTTCAATTATACGCGTGCTTCCACTGTACCTTTAAGTGGACATGTAATTCAGTCAAAAGCAAACAAGATTGCAAAAATTTATACATTCAGCATTTCATTTCTTCCGCTGGTTGTATGTGCCACTTCCAAAAGAGAAACTAGATTTTATAATTAATGATTTGATCTGAAACAAATAAAGCTGATGAAGAAGGATCAAGCGGCTAGTTGCCTGCATTTGACCAAGCAAGAGAAAAGTATGTCTTTTGTGATGTCTAAAATCTGGACAAAACAGTTTTTTTCCGATCATTTTAGAAGTCGCATTCTCGGAAACAATCTCTTTAACTGTTATCTTTCTGTGTAATGCAGACGGTAGTGTCAAGTGATCCGTCCTATGATCAGTAAGTCCAATAAATCACGTTATTTAAAAAACATAGCACTTTACCTTGCATTTACTCTAAGAAAGCTAGGATAGACAGCTCATTATTTCGTAAATGGCTTCTTTGTTTTTATAGTCGAATGGTGGTTCAAATAGGCATCTTCTTAAGCCTATAGCAAAAACGATCTGAGCTTAAACGATGTGCAGTTTAAACGCAACATGTCGTCTTTAGCCTATAGATCAATACATTGTTGTAGTTGAAGAGGTCTTATCCCAAGCTTGTGGCAGATGCAATACGCACTGCTGGCATTTTCGTTCCCGCTTGCGACAGCGCAATGTAGAAGCATTTGCTACTGAAAAGCAATCTACTAGTGAATTTTTTCAAGTACTTTAATTAACGTGAAACTGCATTGTATTCTATGACGAGATGCATAATATATTATAGTAACTGTATACTGTATATGGGTAATGCGCAGAAAGAACTATTCCAAAAATAAAAGTTCCCAATTAACAAGAATTTTTTAACATTAACTCTTGATTTTTCAGTCCCTTGAGAATTGCATTAACGCGGATTTATTGTCAACTATAGTGTACATTTATTAAAATATTTTACATTTAAGAAAGCTATTGTAACGTCTGTAAATAGGTTTCGGAGTTGGAAATAATTATTAGTTGGTCTTTTGGAAAGGCAGAGAAGAGTTTTCACATTAGAAAACAAACAATAGAATTCAACAAGTGAACAGAGAAATGCGACATGAAGACTTAAGCACAATATTTCTTTCTTTTTTTCTATTTACCCTGCTATGCTTTTATGCTTTCTGTTTAAACCTTTTAAAAGCAACTTCACTAATTTAAATTGCTTTATTTCAGAACATTCTCCTTCTTTGACACCATAATAAAATACTACGCTGAAAAGTTAGAAAACCTGTTTAAATGTTTGAAGACTGCACAATAAACGAAAAGAAGTTTTCTCGAAAAATGCAATTATCGAACGCAGTCGGGAAGTAGCTGTTGTAAAGAGCTTTTAAAATTCTGTAAGTGACATATTCAATAAATAGATTTATTTTAAAATCAAGAGGGGGAAACAATTCTAAGCAGTATTCATCGATTCAGTTATATTTGTTAATTTTTCGAGGAATGTTATTTTGTTCTGAATTTCATTATGACGGATCAAATGTACGTGGCTGTTAATTACTTTAATTGAATCAGGACAAAAAAGGAAAAGCCTGGGTGATGAATAAAAGAAAATGCAAATATTAAAATTCCATCGAGATATGGAAAAATTCTTTCTGCTAATTTATTGTCTTTTTTATTTGTAAACGGGATAACGAAATAACATGCAACAATATCACTCTTTAGGTATTTACCTACAATATTCATTTCATTCAAGAACACATTTCAAGAATTTCAGCTTTCAAATGATTACTTCTTAGACAATGTAACAAATATTGCATAACATTTTATTCTTGCTGTTTTGATTGAGATAAAATGGTATTTTAATTAAAAAGTATATATTAATTTAGCGAACGGAAATAATTCGTTGAAAGCTTTTTTTTTTTTTTTTTTTGTTGAAATATATTAACCCAGCGCTTTAATAATTGAAACAGGACAAAATTTGTTTAATGCATAGATTATTAATGTCATCACGTTAAAAATATGCTTTTGTTACGTTACAATAATGTTGAAAATATCCATAAACTATCAAATGGAAATTTTATAAATTATATGAATTAAGTAAATATAGTTTTAATTGAATCAATTAGATGCATATTTTAAAATATCTGATGTGGACACCACATGACTGCCTTGTACGGCCTATTAAATTATACACATTTATCGCTCCCATTCGTTTAAACGTATTCCCTGGAATTTCTTTAGAAATATATCTCTCATTCAATTAATTCAGTTCTTTCTTGGCAACAAGGCAAAAATACATAAAAACTCAAAATATCTTCTTTAAAATTAGAAAAATAAGGAAAACCATAAAACAAAAATACAGTTATAAAATCTAAAAAAACGATTTTTACAATTAAAATTATAGTTTCGACACAAAATGCAGCTATTCGGCTACCGGTTAGGAAGACAGATTTTTTTGGTGCACAAAATTCAAAGTTTACTTTTGCTTCCATTCGGCAAAGAGACATTGAAGTTGGTGCGCAAAATGACTTAATTTACTATTCTACCAAGAGTTTCAAATGTAAACAAATGTCGGCCTCGTTAAGTTTAGAACCATTTAATCAACTTTTATATTGCTGATAACTCTTAAACTATTTCATGCAGATTAACAAAAGCCATAAAAACATTAAACATTAACCATAAGAACACCATAATTTAACCTTTAAAGCAAAAAATTCGCAGTTTATCAACATATAGGAATAAAAAATTGAGTCCACCCAGCCGGGGTAACAGAATGTGTATATACGTACGTTTGGTGCTGCCGATTGCAACAAAAACGCAAGGTGCACAACTACATGTTATGGCAGTCCCCATATACAAAATTTCAGCGTTCTGAGTTTACTCTTTTTTGAGTTATGCGAGATACATACATACGCACGTACTGATGTCACGAAACAAATCTCTTCTGAGTCCATTTTAAATCCATTTTTTTATTGCCTTTTAAAAGACACCTTTATTCTGTCCGTACATGCAGATTGCATGCAAAAATAGCTTTCAGATGGATTCGAAAGCGGTCGAAATGGATATTTTCGTTGAAATATAATACCCATTTTAAATCCTTTTTACAATCCGTTTCGGAAAAAGTCATATGCGGACACCACATGATTTCCTTGTACGGAATATTAAATCATCTGCATTTTTACTGCATTAAATTTAAACTTATTTCCTCGAAATTCATAAGAGATATACTTCTCATTCAATTAATCCAGTTCTCACTTCGCGGCAAGGCAAAAGTACATAAAACCTCAAAATATCTTCATTAAAAATTGGAAAATATAGAAAAACATAAAACACAGAATACTGTTAAAATAATTAAAAAACAGTTTTTACAATTAAAATTAGAGTTTCTACGCAAAAGCAAGCAATTCGGCAAACAGGCAAAAAGGTAGAATTTTTTGGGCGCAAAACTGATATTTTATTTTTTGGTCGTATTCTGCAAAAAGACACTGAAGGTACAAAATCTGACTTAATTCACTATTCTGCTAAGGTTCAAATGTAAGCAAATATGGCTGCTATGGTTTAAAAAAATTAGGCTTAGCCGCACTTAAACAACTTTTAAATTGTTCATAATTCTACAGTGAAATAATTCGAGGCACGAAGTGATTTAAATCATATATTAATGAATCACAGACATATTTTAAAGGGTCATAGCACAGTTTACTTTGGGCATACAAACATTTACATAATTCTCAAGTATTGTTTTCTTAATTTCAAGAGTAAAGACATCAGAATTAAGATTAGTTTTGCATAGTATAATTATTAATGTTGATTATTCTCACATAGCACGATTTGATTATTTTCACTTAGCATTATAATTGCAAGTAAAAAAAAAAAAAAAAAAATAGGTAGCAAATCTGGTTACAGCTGTGCGTGTTACTCGTTAAGAAAACCTCGTAAAAGAAGGACATTAAAAAATAGAGGATATTTGTCTATCATGAACAATGCTGGTTCTAGTATTAAATTATTTGCAATCTATAATTAGCTGTAAGTACGATATTATATAAGTTGATAATTGGGAATATTATATTTAAACATCCATGCTTATATTTATGCACAGTAAAATAATTTGGCTGTTGCATCATACCTTTTGAAATTAGAGTGTATTACATTTTCGTACATAAATATATTTACGTTTGCTGGAACATATTTGCAATATGTTCAAAATGAAAGCAAAATAGCGTGTTATCCCATTGTCCAATCCCATTCAGTGATATCCGAGTTTAATTTCCTGAACTAACGCTCGTTTTCTTTGGTCCAACCCTATAAGACCTGCTAATAGTTTGTTTTTTATCTCCTCCTTGTAAATACGACTTTTAACAAAACATTAATATCACCTAACCTACGGGCTTCCCCTCAGTCGGACTAAAGTATATGATTCTATCCTGTATCTTATTTTGCTAACGTGACAATTACCACGTATGTCGAGCAACAAAACACACATAAGATGCGCTTTAAATGTATTAGACAACGTTTAGGGAATAGCACTTTATTAAACAAATATATGCCTCTATATTATAGAAACATCTGTATAGTAAATTGAGATTATCATAAAGCACTTTATGTCGGATCTAAGTTGATTTTCTAAGTTGCATCTTATATCCAGGCAACAGGCTTGTTCAAATACGGTATTAATAATTAGACATTTTATATGTCTGTATTCAAAAGAGTTAATGCAAAACGATTACAGTGGGATAGACAAGGAGTTCTTGGAGCTATGAGGCTTATTCGCAACAGTGGCATTTTTCCTAGCAAATCGATTATTAAACAACATTCTCGCAAAATTACTTTACTCGCTTTACTCCTCCAAGCGAATACTAAGAAGATCATATGAAGGCTTCCAAGTTATTTGCGAGACATAATATTTGCTCCAAAAGACTTAGCTTCACAGATCATGTAAACTGCACTTCGTAAGTTGAAAATTTGGAAACTTTAACTGCCAAAAACTGACGTGGAATCAACCGATTCCTAAAGCAAAGACAGAATGTATGTGAGAGATATAAACGTCACTTCTAAAACAAATGAGGATTTTCAGTATGTAATATAAAATGAGGAATGTTGTTTGATCTAGATGAGACGATTCTGACGTATTTTCAGCAGCTTCTGTGACAATAATCAATACTGCCTTAAAACGGAAAACGAGTTTATAAAATACTTTTAAAGCACAGTTTTGTCATGTGCCTTTGCTTAAAATATAAAATAGTTACCTAACTACTACTACTTCTTCCTGCGTATTGGTTCATATCATGCATAAACTTGAACTGAAATAAATTCTCTATTAAAAGATATGTAACAATAATATTTCACAATCCTTGATAATACTTAAAAGAACAATTTGACTGTAAATAACTTCAAGTTTGATTTGTAAATGGTGAAATGTGTTTTGATCCTTTAAAAATATCAAAGGAAGCTTTTTAAAGAAAAAATATACTTTAAAAAGTAATTCCATATTTATTTTATTTCAAATCTTGGAATGTTATCAAAACCATTCCTATAAATAAGAGAGTGTTCACTTATATTCATTCAGTGTAAAGGATTTGTCTTTAAATCATTTGTAGATATTATCATTTGTTAATTGACTCATAGGCGTGAATAAAATGGACAGTACTTAAATATTTATTATATCTAATGTAGGTATGGTACATATGGTAATATAAATATAATTTTAACTTTATTTATGAAAATGCATTGGCATGGATTCAATTTCGAGTCAGAAATCAATTTATATATACTTTTATTCGCACTGTATTTCGATAGAACATAATGAAGTTATTAAAATGCTAATCAATTTTATTATGATGCGCAGTGAAGTGAATGATGTATGATGTATAATGACTAGAAATAAGATATTAACTCATATTTCAATCATAATCACAAAACCTTCAACATGTACAGATCCAGCATTATGCAAAAATGATAGAGAGAGCGACAAAAACACATAATATATCCGGAGCTCCTTCACCTGTTCTTGAATATAAGAAGATTCATTCTCTTGAAACTTTATCTGTTTCGAAAACATTTGCATTCAAGCATGAAGTAGTTTGGAATGTAAAAGAGGGGAATTATGAAGGAAATTAAAATATTTTATCATATTTTTACAAATTGACGTTACTGTTTCAATACCATGATTATTTTATTTTCCGTCTAAGTGAATTATTGATCTCAGTGCGTGTATTTTTTTTAAAAAACGCATAAATAAAATTTGGCAGAAGCATGCACAGAAGAGGTTTTTCAGTGTCAAATAAATAGTTAAGATTAAAAACAAAGAAATAAACCAAATTTAACGTTTTAATAAATTTTAATACACCAAGTTTTCAATGCAAACACAGGATTAGAATTCAAAATGTTTATTTGGAAAAATATAATAGAATATATTCTTCCAAGATTATAACTTTTGTACATTTGAATCCCAATAGAATTCGTTCTTAGATTGGTTTATATAGTGCAGTTAGAAATAAATAAAGACACAAACTGTAGTTTGAGAAACACTTGTATTTAATTTAGAACAAAAAAGGATATTTATCCTAAACAAAGATGCAT